TTTCATTTTAAAATGAAGCAAATTAAAGAGTTTAAGACTGATGACTCTTGGCACTTCGATGCTACTTTGATCGGAATTAATTCGGGAATTTGATCGTCTATCCAGGGCTTCACTCCTAGCGTATCTCGTCAGTCGAAGAAAAAGAACACACCTGGAAAGCATTGTTTACATTTTGCCTACAGTCCGGAGCTCGGCCGACCTTCAACAACGCTGTCGGTTTGTTTGGCGAAACGCGCTCCTTCCTGCCCCAATTTTCTACTTGAACGCATTCACATGGCAACGTTGCAGAGCCGCTGGAAAGTACAAAACGCGATCCACTGCAGCGTTGCCTACAGACGCGTTGTTAAAGTCAGAAGTGCAACCGCTGAGAGGCTGAGCTCAGCCGAAGTGTTGTTAAACGTTTTCTGAGTTATCCGGTGAGGGAATCAAAGGCCGCCATCTTCTCAGCAAAATCGCTCAGTGCTCAGTCTGGTTCTCAGGGCGAGGGCGCTTACCAGTTTTGCTGAGAAGATGGCGGCCTTTGTTTACTAACAAGTTTGCATCATCGCTGAGCGGATATCTAAAAATGGCGGACTGACGTCATTTCGCTGACTTCAATTTATAACTTTAACAACGCGTCTTACGAGAATGGAGAGGCCGTAACTAGTCAGCTCTGTGACGTCAAGCTAATAGATATTTACCGAGAACAACAAGCATCTCCGGGTCAACGGTGCATCGATGAGTAAGGCAGTCGCTGCGTGGACCAATCAGAGTGGCCCTCGATCGGCCGAAGTTGCGCGAGCGGTCCGTTTGAATCTGAGTGGAGCAACAATTTTATGTATTATACTTTCATTTCCTCGATTTTTAGACAATGTCACATGGGTTACTTCGTTTACTGAAGTGAAATTTCATCTTCTTTCGAAGAGGTTCTTATGAATTTTTGCATTAGATCAACCCCCGAGAAGATATCGGCACGAAAGAAACACACGTAGGGCGTTCTCCCATAAGATCACATGTGTTAAACCGCGGCCGAGTTTCATCTACTAGCGTGACGTCACAGAAACGTAGTTACGGCCTCTCAAAGATCCCAGCGTACGGATTTATCCGTGCCGCGCGGACATTCCCTATTATACCGACACGGACCGCGTACGGACCAAAACCTTCCCTATCTTGTTTAGGCCGCGTTGCTAAAGTCTCCGGAGAGCCCTCCGGAGTTACCCGGAGACGTAAACAACCGTTGTTCTGACTCCGGAGGAATTACCCGGAGACTTGCTACGTCAGTCGCCAAACTGCTCTCCAGCTCTCCGACCTCTCGAGGTCGCACTATGGTCTGGGGGCGCCGAATTGTGGCCATAAATCAGGAAATGGTCAGATTATCATGAAATTTGCTATGCTCATGTTTTTAGGGTCGCTGAATTCAAATTTGACCTTAGTTTTATAAAATTCTCAAATCCAAGATGGCGGCGGACCCTAAAAACTAAAAAATTAGAAAAAAATTCAAACTATGATTCGGATGCCATTTTAAATGACAGTTTAGTGTTTTGAAGGTTGCCAGACTACACTTTGCTAACTCAGTTTTGCAAAAATGACGCGTTTACCAGAGCAAAATGCTTAAAAATGAGTATTTTACCCTGGAAAAGATAAGACATTATCGTAATTGAATAAAGGTAGCATTATGTTTTTTAGTCTATTGGTCCTGACTAGAGCATGATATATATTTAGGGGGGGGGGGTTATGAAGCCTAGGTATAGAGTGTCCCCTCCCTGAACAAAAATTTTCTTCCAAAAATGTTCATTTCTGGCGGTTTTTTTTTTTTTTAATTGCCTAACTCTTTGATCGCCAGACCCTGCTACGAAAAGTTTCGGGACATATTTTAGAATACTTAAAAATTAATAGCCTTGACATTCTTATATTTCTCGGAAGCAGTTCAACCATTTTGCGGTGATTTTTATGGTTACAAATGTTATTAGAAATGTTTTAGGTGGAATGATAAACTTGAACCATTTCAAAGAATAAATACAAGAAAACGGAACTAAAATTGCTATTAAGGTCTAATATCCGTGCTTGAATTCCTTTCCCCATCAGTCCCTTCCCAACAATAAGCTCCCAGTAAGGATTGCGATCATCAAGCTCGAGTTGCCTGGGCGGAAGTCAAACTCGGGATCCTCTGATCATAGGGCTAGCACTACAACCATTACAACACAGGAAGGCGAGTTGGTAAATGTGTATGCATATGAAATCTCAAGAATGAAAAAATGACCTTCGTTTTATCCAGTTATCATCACTTCTGTGGAGAAAATATCATTTCGCTCAAAAATGCGTTTTCCCGCAAAAAAAACTTCATTTTCCAGAAAACTGGCAACTGCTGGAAGAAAATGGGCATCATTTTCGGATTCAGCAGCCAAAATTACATAAGATTCACCCTTTGTCCAACGCTGACCTTGCCTCATCTCTCTTATCTTGTTGCACAGCGGAATCGGATTACTCACAAAATCACAAAACCGCTGCACTGAAATGACCGAAAAAGGCCTCAGACGCAAAAATACGCAAAAAAACCTATTATTGCCTGTTAGAGGAATAAATGAGCTACATTTTGGCACCGATAAGAATATGTTACCTCTTGTTAGTGATAACTAAAAGTTAAGGTAAAGGTCATTTTTTGCCTAAATTAGGACAAAACTTTGAAGTCTCGTGGTGGTCATAAAATTAATCTTAATACTAAAAACGATTAAACTATCAAAAAGTGTTCCCTTTGAGCTTTCTGTTCCATAGTTGATCGAGGATCTATGCCGACTTTTAACAAAACAGCACAAGGTTATATGTGATGACGTTCACCTCGAATTCTCACATTTCTTCATTTACCTCTGAGTCTGTGAAGTTGGCCACCATATATCCGATCTTAAAAACACTTTAAAAAAATTCGATCGGTCATTTCACACGTGCCAAGGGATGCAGATAAGGGCTGCATGCTAGGTTGCCAGATTTCCGCACTTTCAAAAATCGGATTTTTGGCCACGATTTGGCGCTCCCAGACCATAGTGGGTCGGAGAGCTGGAGACCAATACGTAGACTGACGTAAGAATATAGGCGTTTAGCATTCTCGCGCCTTTTTTTCTGCTTATGCAGTGAGTTTTAGAATTTTCAAATATTTAAAGATGAAAGTGTTTGTAGATTTCATTTTTAATTTTGGGACGAGAATAACTACGGAGCTTCCACTAGAAGAGTTTGAACGAATGAATGCTCGTAAGTTATGATTTAATTCAGTCCCTTAAATTATCGCACGTACAAACCATCTGCAGTTTTTCCATGACTCTTTAGGCATTGCCTCTACGAATGAAAGACGACAAGACGACGATAACGAAAACAAAATGAATAAAGAAACTTAACCTAAAATTGAAGTGTAAACAAAACAGAATCCGGCGGACCATGGCGGACCCAACAACGCGGCGAGACTGGAGAGATTACGTCAATCCTCCGCTTAATTCTCCGAGACTTTCCGCTCCCAGTCCTCCGGAGAGCTCTTATCTCCGAAAATCCATCAGGCCTTCACCGATGTCTCCGCGAATAAAGTTAGGGCCCAGAAATGCAGACAACCTATGAATCTCAATTATCCAGAGCGCTTTACTAATACAATTGTTACGAACCATCGTTTGTAAAGCACGTATATGACTTAGTTTTTGCATAATTTACTCATTCTTGCGGAAGAACGCTCATTTATGTACATTCTTAGCCATCTTGGTTAGAATTGGAATCTGCAGACTGGCAGTGAAATTTTGTGCGTTAGAAGTTGGTTAGAAGGGTGGCTGCACTTTTGGGCCCTAAGCCCTCCATGAAGCGATATGTCCATACTCTCACTATACGGAGTGATCCAAAAGTCCCTTCCACCCCCTCTAACTTTTTACCTAATTGAGGTAAAGATTTGAAACTTGGGGAATGTCCCTAGGTCAAAGGGAACTGCTTTCTGGCCCCCCTAAAATTTTCAGGGAGCCCCCCTTGGGGGGGCAACGCACCCCAACTTTTAATTTTCAAATGGGAAGACCCCCTTTGTGATAGCTCGTTCGAAAGAGCATAAAAAAAGAAAACTTTTCGCGCAAGCCCGAAGTCAATATCTCAAACCGTTACCAAATGGCGGCCGGTTAAAGTTCAAAATGGCCGAAAATTCACGCAGGTTGTTTGTCGATGGATTTTCGCGAAAATCGGTAACTAGAGGTATTCCGACAAGAGAAAAACGAATTTGACGTTAGATTTTCAAAAAAACCGAAATTTCCAAAATGGCCGCCGGTGGAAATTCAAAATGGCCGAAAATTTGTTTTTTTAGAAATCTAAGTTCAAATGTGTTAATCTTATCCCAAAATACCCTAAAATTCCAAGTTTTAGGCGAATCCATCAGCAAAAGACCGAGGTGGCAATTTTCGGCCATTTTAAACCTCAACCGGCGACCATTTTAGAAATTTCGGTTTTTTTTCTAAATCGAACGTCAAATTCGTTTCTCTCATGTCAAAATACCTCTGGATACCGATTTTCGGGAAAATCCATCGACACATAACCTATGTGAATTTTCGGCCCTTTTGAACATTAACCGGCCGCCATTTGGTAACGGTTTGAGATATTGACTTCGGGCTTGCGCGAAAAGTTTTCTTTTTTTATGCTCTTTCGAACGAGCTATCACAAAGGGGGTCTGCCCATTTGAAAATTAAAAGTTGGGGTGCGTTGCCCCCCCCAAGGGGGACTCCCTGAAAATTTTAGGGGGGCCAAAAAGTAGCTCCTTTTGACCTAGGGACATCCCCCAAGTTTCAAATCTTTACCTCAATTAGGTAAAAAGTTAGAGGGGGTGGAAGGGACTTTTGGATCACCCTGTATAGGTACTCTAATAGCAGCACGGAGAGCGGAGAGCGTACGGATTTCGCACACGGAGCTCCCGGGAACACTGGGCAACGTCCACTGGAGTAAACGGGAGGGAGGGGGGGGGGGGGGGGGNGGGGGGGGGGGGGGAGAGGTGAGAGTGAAATAAATGTCTGGCCTTATGATTTGATATAAATGTATGACGACAGATTAAATTAAAACTTTAATACAAATAAAGATGAAGTATGCGAAAATATTTCTTCGATAGAGATAGAAATTGCCTTATATACACAGAGACCTTGTACTACAGTTAGATAATGAATCAGAATCGAAAACAAATTTGTTTTGAACGCATTCAACGAGAAAAGGACAATTTAATACCACAAGGTGATGATAATGTGATATAGGGACATATTAATTTCAAACAAAGAAAAGTTTAGTTGAAGAAATTCATCGCAAGTCTGTCCTGTCCAGGGCTTCCAACATAATAATACTGTTTCCTCGAACAACCTATTGACGAAAAAAAGAAAATCAGGTATACTAATAAGATTGCAAAAATGTAAATCATAAGTGAAAACATTAACAGCATTATTTCTATGATTAAAGGTGTTCACGGTACAACACTGATTATGACCGATCAGCAGTCTGATTGTTGAAATTTTTTGTTTGTCGGGACGACATAGATGACATAGGTTAAAAGGTGGAGCGTGATTGGTCGACTATGTCTTATCGCTGCTTTATCGTGCCTTTGTCAGGTGGAACGGACGACGTACTGTCGAGAACTGAAGAGGTGCCGCACACTGAGGTATTTGACCGAAAAACCAGGCCAAAACCTCAATTTTAAAGGCGTCCTTTTAAAGGCCTTCTTCCACCCTCTTTAAACTCCCCGAAAATTGTCATATGATGTGTTAGGTGGTTAAATTGTGCATATTATCACTTAAGAAGTACTTAATGTAAAATATTTTTAAAACTCGTCGATATCTGGTGATAAATAGTTTTGGCCAGCTTTTCAGGTCCAATACCACAGTGTGTGCCGTTAGCTTGTCGTGAGTTCAACCCGACATAGGCACGAAAAAGCTGCGATAAGACATAGCCGACCAATCACGCTTATCCTTTTAACCTATGTCATCTATGTCGTCCCGACAAACAAAAAATTTCAACAATCAGGCTGCAGGAGGGCAACCGCAGATGCGTTTCGGGTCTAATGGGACCCATCAACAGTGCAACATAGCACAGTGGGAAAAACAGCCGATCTAATGCCAAAAATGTCGGAAAATCAGCATCAATGAATATGGCAAAAATTGATATGCATGTGTTTCTGAGAATCTACTGATCAAGAGTCAGCCATGTTCTACTTCATAAAATCGATCTTATCTGCGATAATGGTAAGAAACGCCCCGGTTAGCTCGGTGCTGGTTGAGGACCACCTCAGGGTGGTTACACTCAGTAGCCTCCTGTGATCGTCTGACAATAAGTGCGTCATGTAGTGACTTTTGATTTTTTTTCAACGATGGCTTGCTCACCTAAAAGTAGGGTCCATTTTTTTCTTTCTTACATACGTATATGACTTACAGCAATTTTTGAATGTTAGCCTCTGAAATAGTCAGACATTCAAACTTCTAAAGACTGCATCTTACAACATCCAAGGATACCCAAGGATATATTTAAATCCAGTGAATTGTTATACTATCAAGATCACAAAAATCCTTGGTTGAAACCGGCCTTTCAGAGATTTTTGATCAAAACTTTGTCGAAACATGTGGCTCAGATGGCGGCTTTCGCGGTAAAAATCGAAGGTAGCTAAGTTCAGATGAGTATTCAGCGTTAAAAAACACATAGGAAGCATATGCCAGATAGTTTTTCGAAAAATTATCCAGGTGAAATTATACAGGGTGTCCCACAAGTCCGTAGCCCCCCCCCCCCAATGGAACTTTTGAACGGTTAGAGATAGAAAAACGAAACTTTGGGAATGTTTCTATCTTAAAGGGGACCATCTTTTAGAGGGGTTAAAATTTTTGCTCCTCCCTCAAGGGGGGCGGAAGGCCCCCAACTTATTTTTTTCAAATGATAACTCCTATTTGGTGATACATCATTAGACAGAACATAAGAAACTAAGAATTTTGGCGCAAACCGCAGATCAATATCTTAATTTTAGACCGAGTTATAATAGGTCAAAAGTCAAATTTGACCTATTTTCAAAAAATCATAACTCCGGTTCAAATTATCGCAAAGAAAAAATGACACGGGGAAACTCTCCAAATCATAAGCACTTTTAAGTCTAAATCACAGAAATCACTTTAAACTAATTTTAAGGGGGGTTTCGGACCCCCAAATACGTCAGTTTTGGGTTTCCGAAATTTTGGGTAGAGTTCAAAAAAAGAAAAAAAAGAAAGAAAAGAAATAAAGAAATTTCAACGGTTGAATTGATCACCTTGAATTTCGTTTTTTGAACTCTGCCCAAAATTTGGGGACTTGAAAAAGCAATGTTGAAATAACTTTGAACTTATCAAGATAATAGTGAGGCAAAGGTAAGGGAAATTGGCTCAAATCGCGGGAAAATCGTATGACCTTTGAACTGACGTACTTGGGGGTCCGAAACCCCCCTTAAAATTAGTTTTAAATGATTTCTGTGATTTAGACTTAAAAGTGCTTACAATTTTAAGAGTTTCCTCGTTTCATTTTTTCTTTGCGATAATTTGAACCGGAGTTATGATTTTTTGAAAATAGGTCAAATTTGACTTTTGACCTATCATAACTCGGTCTAAAATTAAGATATTGATCTGCGGTTTGCGCCAAAATTCTTAGTTTTTTAAGTTCTTTCTAATGATGTATCACAAGATAGGGGTTATCATTTGAAAAAAATAAGTTGGGGGCCTTCCGCCCCCCTTGAGGGAGGAGCAAAAATTTTAATCCCTCTAAAAGATGGTCCCCTTTAAGATAGAAACATTCCCAAAGTTTCGTTTTTCTATCTCTAACCGTTCAAAAGTTCCATTGGGGGGGGGGGGGG